TGGAAGGCCTGGACTTGTTCGCGGAAGTGAGTCGGTGCAGAGCTGGGCGGTGGGTGTCTGGGACTTGAGCGGGGCAGCAGTCGGTGCAAGGCTGTAACGAGGAGGAGTGAAAACTTGTTATGTCGAAACATGGATCTTCAAACGGTCGGGGCGTCGCGCTAATCTTGTTGATTGCTTATGCTGTTCATTTGTTGGCCTTGATGGGCCTTCATAGATTGTGAATGTCGTGTCCTTCGAGACAACGGTATGTTTGGGTTGTGCCACCGCTTGATCGAGAAACGCATGGTGCGCGAGTGGGTGATGTGATGAAGGAAAGGAAGAATTGTCATGTCCTTGAACTGCTGTTGAAGCCGAGCGATTTGCTGCGCCCCTCTCTGTCTATCTCTCGCTGAAAAAGGCGGGTGGAGGGGAGGAGGGGTTGTGTGCCGGTGTTCGCACGCGGAAGAAACCTTGCTTAAAACGCCGAAAATTGCGCCGAAAATTGGACAAGGGCTGTCGAAACCGCCACCGCTGCTGGAGCGCCTCCCAACCGACCCTCGTCTTTTGGTTGGTGCACACACTGCTTAGCACTCTTTCGCTTGGGGCTGGATTACAGCCCAACCAACCCTTATCCCCGCCCGCGGCTTGCCTGGTTGTGATGTCGAGACCCAGGAGAGAGCCCCTCTTCAAAGTCTTACAGCCGATAATGCAGGACGCAAATGACGCGTTGACAAGACCTCCCGCTTTTTTTCTCCGTCCTCTCGAGGACGCGTGGTCAATGGTCGCACCGCTAAGGCATGCAAAGCATTACAGAGAGAACCTGGCCCGGTGAGAACCCGGCGTGCTCCGTNCCCCCCCCCCCCCATGTACTCTTTAATCCCGCGCCGCAGGGCAGCGTGTGGCCCGACAAGCCTCGGACCCGTTTTCCCTGCGTGGAGGCGTCTACGGGGCAGGTGAAGACCGTGCTGCTGCCACCCCTCCTCCTCGAGACGGCCATCGCCCTGCTGAGCTTCCACCGGGCAGACGCAAACCTTACGCCAGAGCTGCGGGTGAGTGGACGGGCTTCTGCTGTAGTGGTTCCATGTTTCCCATCGCTTTTCTTTCTAGACCCCCTGTGTTTCAGGGTGCCTTTGGGAAACCACCAGCACCAGCGACGCAGGAAGCATGGATATTCACCACCCACAATTTGTCAAATTATTACTACCCCACCCACCCCCGGTGTTTGCCATCGGGGTTGGGTTTTCGTCGCTTGGCAATGACGTTGTAAAACAAGCCAATTCACTTCGTGAGCTCGGCAACCAGGTTACCG